TAACTGTAGCAAACCAAATTAATAATAGATACATAAAGGATAGATATCAGAATGATAAAGGAATCCCAGTATGTATTCTTTATGTATTTATTGAACCTGTGCTACTTGTAAATAATCATTTTACCTCATCAACTCTATACTTTAACTATACTAATCTTTACACAACCTCTTATTTATTTTGCAATAGAACAAAAGCTTTATTAAAAGCTCTACTAGATAATTTATTAAATCAATTTGCAAAACACAAAACATTGACTTATAGTTCTACAACACCATACTTATGAATAGTCTTATTTTTTCTACTAATTGACTAGAAAGCCTTGTGGTTATACTTTACAATAATCAAAAAGTATTACACAATTTTACCAACTCTAAATTAAACTATCTAAAATCTTTTAAAATTAAAATGCTTTTCAATATCCTTCTAACACATATATACTTTCACTCTATTTATTCTTCTATATTCATATCTCCTAATTGCTTTTTATATAACAGTCCTAATACTCCTTCTTACTGGTATTTTTGTCCCAACAACACACTTTTAACTCAAACTATTAACACCTCAATGCATAATATTATTTCTAATGCTAATCTCAATTCTCTTGATATACTAATTAAACAATTTAATATATACTATTGCTTCACATCCCTCTTTTAACTCCTCTTCATCACAACTATACTCTTATACTCTACACTTAAAGGTTTTATACCTATGTTTTAATCCAATTGATAGACTCTTTGAAATCTCTTACTTCCAAACCTTACAACTTATTATCAAAATACTCTTAAAAATTTCTGACCAACTCTATAATAATATTTGAATCTTTTACTACTTCAACTTTTTTCACTAAAAAAGAGCTCAACAAATTTTAACATGAATTAACACTACACCCCATACCTTCTTACTTCCTAGAAATTACAGAAATAAAATTACTTATGCATATAGCTGCTCTTGCGGCTTTGCTAACCAGCTACATTCTAACTCTAATACATGCCCTCACTAGGACAAGCTTTTTTTAAATACAATATTTGGTTCACTTTGTAGATCCAATATAGTACACCTATTAATCATATCTTAACCATCCAAATCTAGATGAGTTTTGACCACTCTAGTAGGTTTAGGTCACAGATAAATTAGTCTGAGCTTCTATTCGTGTATGTAATTTATATTTATTTGTTTGTATACAAATTAATTCTTTATATAGCTTCTATATAATTACTTATATAAATTATTTAATAAAGATATGAGCAAGACCTCACCTTAAACCAAAAAAAAAAATAAAAAAATAAAAACAGCATATTTTTATTTAACCAAATTTTATATAAATTAATTTTAACAATAATCTATATATAGTAACACATGTAAAATTTTTAATTTAAAGTTTATTATTTACTATATAATTAGCTTTTATAATATATAGCAAACTTTTTTTATTGAATATATAACTATTCAAAAATCAAATAAAAAAAAGTAAAAAATATAAAATTGGCTATTTCTATTGACAACACCTTATATTGTAAATAAAAATTTAAATCTTTATAATAAATAGAGATATTGTAATTATTTAATTATAATTTTATAAAGTTATAAATAAGAACATTAAATTAACAGTCTTATCAAAAACTACATAATGTTTTTAAACTATTTTATAATTATATTAAATTATAAATAATAAATAGCAATATTAGAAGATTTATATACAGTTATGGTTTAATTTCCGTGTAGAGCAAATGCGAATGTAATTAAAAATCTGTAAAATGATATTAAAAAAATATAATAAACAATTATTACATCGAGTAAAACTACTAATCGCATAAATTAAAGTAATTCAACTATCATTGACAATAGAGTTTCACTTTTATTGAATACGTAAGAAAAGACGAGGATTGAATCGCGCATACAATATTATATATGCTAATATAGCTTTTAGATTATCTAACAAATTAGATTCTAATCAAACAATCATAAGTATAAATTTAGTAGACAAATGCAAAATTAATTACCTAACATCAAATAAGTAATACATAATTTAATTGTTTGTGTACTACTTTATAATACTGTAAAACAATGTTTTAAATGTTTAAGTGAGAAACACGGGTAGGCACGTACGTACGTACGTACGTATCTGTTATAAAGTTATGAAGTCATGTGATTGAGCCTCAGTTATTGTGACAGATTAAAATGAAATCGGATTAAAATGAAATATTATACAATGTAAAAAATAGACAAGCCACCGAAAAATGAAAATTTTTGAGATGCATTTTTTAGGATTAGAGGTTAGGGTTGGAGGTTAGTTTTAGGATAAAGTTTATAATAAACAAGTATAGGAGAGTTTTAGAGGGTTAAATAGAAACCCTCATTTCATTTTAATCCGATTTCATTATGATCTGCCACAGTTATTAGTTACACAATTGATTATTTAATTGGTTAAAATTTGAAACGGTTGTACTGTACAGAAAAGGTTATTTGTGATCCTGTAAAAATTTTTTCCATAAGTTTAAAAGGACATTTGTAGTACGCAAATGAGTACCGTCAAGTACACATGACGTACGGTTAGAATAAGGGAGACTTTCCTAGTTTTAGAATAAAGATAAAAAAATGTAAAAATAGTAACTTCATCCAATTAAGTCAAACTTTAGTTTTTTTTTAATCTCAAAATACGCTAAAAAAACAAATTTGGTACGGATGTACGTACAGTACGTACGTCCATAATTCTATAATTGATGAGTAAATTTTTTTTTAAATAAAAAGTCTGTAACGAGTGAAAACTTTAATAAATTCAAAAATTATAATCAAATATCACACAAAGTTCACTCCGGGTTTCAGCCTTTGATATAGAATGGACACTTTTTTTTTTAAGATTGAGGCGGCCTTTTTTAAAAAAAAGATTACAAAAAGATAAATGATTATTGAATATTAACTATCGCTATAACATCAAATAGAAATTAAGGTTATGATTAAAGAAGTACAGAATAAAGGCTGTAAAGGCGCATCACTGCATTCTCTGCATCAATAAATAATTTTTTTTTTAGTGGTCAACTTATTGTATATCAAAAAATAGTTAACTAACGATTTTTACATAATTTGAAGATTCCAGATTTTTCCAAAAGGTAAAAACACATAATCCGACTGTACAACAATAAATAAATAGATTATTCTTTAATAACCCAAATTTATAAGAAAAAAAATTTTACATAACATTTATAATTTCTAAGAATAATCGATATATATAAAAAAGTGAAATAAGAAATCAGTTAATCACGTGAAAATTATGAAAAAAATGAAACCAATCAATTTATTTTAAATTTGTTTCATATTTACAGAAATGTTAATTTTACATTTAAGAGTTTTCGATTGTTCAGAAAGTAATGTAACCTATGATAGGCATTTTTCATTATCAGTTGATACAATTTACGTAGTACATATGCATGCACTAATAGATCTACATTGTAGCATATACATTATATACATTATATTCGTTATAATATCTTGTTTACTTGGTTTAAGTAACGAGAGTGAAATTAATTTAATTTATTTAAAAAGTTAATAAAATAAACATGTTTAGTTAATAATAATATTATTGTTGAGTAGTGTTGAGTAATGTTGAATACTATTGAGTGTTAATTAATAAAGTTGGCGTAATGGCGGTAATTTTAAAAATTTCCACACATTTAAATATCTTTTTATTTTCTCATAGATTTAACAAGTTTTTAGATAGAATTTTAGTATTTTCGATACATACAAACCGGAAATTTTACCCGCGTAGCGAATGAGGAAATTAAAATCGATGTGCGTTTGTGAGACTATTACATACGTACGTATGTAAATTACATAGATTACAGTATAAGATTATAGATCAGTATATTGATTATAGATTATATAGAGTATAACTACTGTTGACTACTATATACGTAACTACTGTAATAACGCTAGTGACATTCTCATATGAGTAAAGTCTAATCAACCAATAAAAATTTTTTTAAAGAAAAAAAAAAGTCTAATCTTTTATTGGTCTGTTTGTTTGTTTATTATTTAAATTAACAAATCCCATTGTTACCGTTATGTAGATGAATAACTTATGGCCGATAACAGATAATTACGGTCGTTTACGCCCGAATTATATGCAAATTATATGCGAATTATATGCGAACTATATGCGAACTATATGCGAATTATATGCGAGTTAGATGTCATCTAATATGCATAGAACATAATATGGATGAATTGTATGTAACTTTTGTTATGTAATTGCACAATGTGAATGATTTCCCCCTGTTTGACTTTTTGACATTTTAAATAAAAAAGAAATTCTTAAATATATACCTCAAAATATCTCATCTCGGTTTTATACCTTGAACTACCAAATTGGTAGATTACTCCTTTGTGTTCGTCTCTATTAAGTGATTATCAACCAATCATATTTTTAGAAATTATTCATTTGGAAATTTAGGTAAATTTCTATCACTTTTTTTACACAACCATTTTTGGTAATGTAAGTGGCTAATCTTGTTCACTTATATTTTGTTTCTCTTCTCTTCGCCGCTTGTTTCACCAATAGTGATACGTAGGATGACTTCTTTTATACAATTACGCTTATTATGCGTTGTAAGTACATACTTGATAAAATAAAAATAATATTATAATTATATTGAAATTATATTGTATTTTTCATATTTATATATGGATTATATTTTCAATTATTTTGTTTCAGGGTTCATACTTGATTCTCTGTGAAATACCTCCGTTGATTTAACAGAAATAAATTCTGAAAGTCGACGTAGTTAAATTAAAATCACAGCTAATCAGTATTTGGTTTCGTACGTTTTTTTTATTTTTTTTTCTGTATAAAATTACATTTTCTCCTTTTAATACTTTGGCGCCGGACTCGCCATTTTATTTCTTTGAAAAAAAAATTTCTCTCTTCGTTTTTTTTTCATATACTATTTAATATTATATATAAATTTCATCGCATGAGAACAAGATTTTTATATTTCATTTAATGAAATCTCTTTACTTTCCGAGAGCTCTTTTACCGACGCAGACTTTACCGATATCAGCCCCTCCGTCTTTGGGAGATGCAAGAGTTCCAGGAACAGAATTAGTTATACCCCTTGGTATGGGTATACTATTTCTAAGTGGTCTTTGTACAGTATACGTAATCATTAGAACGATGTCTCGATGGAAGACTACTAAAAGATCTTTACCAATGGCGTTGAGAGTGCCTTTTTATATTGCTATTTCAGGTAACGTTTTATTATGGTGTGTGTATTTCTTTTGATCTTTTATCTTTTTTATAAATAGAAATAAAACTCATCTTTATTATCATTTATTATCATTATTTATTTATTTATTATTATTATTAGATTTCTCTTTATTTTGCATACACGTTTTAAACTTGGTAAGTTTATCTTTTATTTATATATTAAAAAGATCAATTCAATTAAAATATTATATTTCAAATATTACGAATAGGGATTTCCATTATTTGAAGGCAGACCATGGCCAACAGATGATTGCCGATTGATCGGAGGCGTAACATTCTTTTTAGTGTCATGTAACATGATACTCGTAGGATCATTAGCAATGTTAACTTTTTTAAGAATATGTAGAAAATGGTACATCGATTTGGGAAAATGTGATTACAAGTTATTTGCTTTTCTCATATCATTATCTTTTGTCTTTACTATGGCTGGAATTCAAAGCTTTGGTGCTAGTAAATATTGGTAAGTAGTTTTAATATAATTTTAAAACTTTATTTGATGTAGTTTCGATGTAATTTTGATATGTTTCAATATCAATGTCAATGTAATTAATTATTCAAGAATTGATTTATATATATATTTATATTTATTTATTTATTCATTTCTTCTTGTTTAATTAGGTGTTTCATTAATAAAGATAATCCTGTAACACCAATAATAACGTTAGCCTTAAATTTTTCGATATTGGCAATTGTCGTATTTTGTTACGCTATGACATTACGAGAAATAAATTCGATTCAATTAAAAAAAGATTATAAATCAAGATTTGATACTCTTTCAAAAAATAAAAAGATTGAACCGATAGTAGTGAGAAAAATTATCGGTTATGTACTTATTTTCATCATTCAATGGACTCCTGCTATGATTTACGTCTTTTGTCAATTAATTGGTGTAAGTTATTATTATTTTTATTATTATTTTTATTATTATTTTTATTATTATTTTTATATTTATTATTATAAGTTTTATTCCGTGCATCATCATTTTATTAATTATTTTATTAATTAAATAGTATGATGAAATGTGGATTTATTTAGTAACCGATGCGACTGTAAACTTGGGTGGTATAGGAAACATGATACAATATATAATAAATGAAGGATGGCGTAATGATACAAGTGGCAACATTAACGAATCTTGTGATATGTCAGCTGTAATAATTCCTTCTCCTTCTTCTAATGATTCGGATTATCCAAATACTTCTCCTGCTCCTACTATAAGTTTACCTTTTCATCAATCAAAATCACGAATTAATGAAATGATCTCTATTAAAATTGATGATTCTAAATCAAATTTATTTTTACCTGATACTTTAAATGATAGTTCTCCTACTATAGTTCCTAGTATTGAAAATTTAAAAAATGATCGAAATGATGATTTTAAAATGAAACAACAACGTGAAATTATACAAAGAGATATATCTGTTTCTTCTTCGTCTTCTCAAAGTGATCATAGTAATATTATGAATGAATTAGATAAAATTATTGTTAGACATAATGAAGATGTTATAAGACATGGTGGTGTTATGGCCAGGCAAAATGGTACCACATTAACTCGTGAAAAAAGTTTAAAACCTTTTAGAAAAAGTATTAAAAATAAGAATAATAGAAATGATACTGTAAGCTGGCATAGATTTGGAAGTGGTGGAAATAGTCGAACTTCAATAAGAGGATTATTACAAAGGGTTGAAACTTTTAGAAAAGTTAAAGATCCTAAAAATATTGATCCTAAAAGTACTGATGAAATCAAAGAAATTGATGAAGAAAATCTCCCCCCTGGTGGGAATGCGACCTATTCTTATCTATAATCAATTGGTTAAATGTTTATTTTTATTATCGAACATTTATGAATGATCTTTCTTTTAGTATATGAAAAAGAAAAATCTTAATAATTATAATTATTATTTTGGGAAAGCTGGATTTTTTTTCATTAAATATAGTAAAATAGGGCGTAACCATATACGTACAATGTATATAAATTTTATTTTTAGTATATATATATTATTATCATTATTTATATAGTTATCTATTCTATAGTATTCCATCTATAGTTTTATTATTTTATTTCATCGCTTCTGAAAAAATAACCTGGAACATCGCATCGGCAGATGGCAAAAAAATTTGATCAAAAAGGCAACAAAAAGGCAACAAAAAAAAACAAACGAAAACATCGAAAAAAAAAGATCGAAAAAGGCGAAATCTCGAACTCAAATTCTAAAATAACATTCTACACACTATCCATATATTCATACTTTCATACTTTTATACTTTCATACTATTCATACTATCCATACTATCCGAATCTTCCCCTTCCAACACGAAACCTCGTATGAACTGACTGACTGAACCCTTATTAAAAATTTTTTTTTTCAACTAAAAATGCAGTTGCTGCTGCTTTATGCGCTTCTTTTTATATTTTTTATATAGAAAGATGCGCATTGTACATTCTTTTCTTAAAAAATTTGTAATTATATTGCTAGTTCTGTGATTTTAAAGATACTTTTCACATGTACTTAACAGTACTGACAGTATTGAAGGAGAAAATAAATAAACAAATTTTATCTCGATTTACACATTTTTTACATTTTTTAAATAATAAAAAATAAAGTATATCATTGGTAAATCATTTGATCGAGATTCACTGATGGCTACATTTTTTTTTCTAACTTTGTAAAGATAAATATTTAAGATAATACACGTGCAATTCAGTAAGAAATTATAATAAAAGTGGAATAATCATTTGTAGATTCGTAATCTACAGATTATCTTAACCTTATATATATTTTTTGAAAGTGATGATTAACGATGATAAACGATGTTATAAATCACGTAGTCTATCACTATTACAGTATTACTTGTCAAAAATTTAACCGGTCTCTCCTCATGTAAATTAACAAATTAACTAGTACCAATTAAAAATTTGTTTAATAATCAATTTTTCTTTCAAATTTATTCTGTACAACAATTTTCTATTTTACCGAGAAAAAAAAAACACAACCCTTAGAACATCTTAAAATAATATCGTAATTGTACGCACTTATTTCAGATAATAATTTCAAAAAAAAAAAAAAATGCTAAGCCTACCAAAGAAAAATACAACACTTGAAATAATTTTTGATAATGATACTTGTATAATGTATGGATTACCTGAAGAATCGGAAGGATGTAAATTAAAAGGAAAAGTATTGTTGACTAGTAATAAGGGATTGAAAATAAAAAGTTTTAATTTTGCTTTTATCGGTAAAACAAATGTTACTTGTTGTCCTTTTATAACTTCTACGAGACCTGATTGTATGTATCATTTTTTAAATAACGTTAATAATAATATTAATAACGTTAATAATGTTTATAATCTTGTAATTTTATAATTTTATAACATTAAAAACGTCAATAATGTTATATAATTTTATTATAAGTTAACAATAGAGTTTGTACCCGAGTAGAAATTTTCTTGACGGGTACAGTCTCTAGTTAATAACATTTTATACTAATATTAATAACGGTTTATAAAAATGCATATATATCATTATAGGTAACGAGACACAAACAGTATGTCGAAGAGAATGTTCATTCCCTTCACCTCCACGAATTCCTCCTGGAATTCATGAATTTAAATTTGAAGTTGATCTTCCTGGTCATTTACCTGCTTCATTCAAAGGAACACGTGGAAAAATCGAATATTGGTGTTACGTTATTATAGAAAGACCAATGTTTCATGCTGATATATCAATAAAAAAACCTGTGATAATTCGACGTTCTTTAATACCAAATGATATATTAGCTTCACCAATTACTTTACAAGATCGTTTAACAACTTTTACTGAAGGTATATTAGAAGAAAAAGTTCAATATCATATTAATGCTCCAATAATGGCTTATAGAGAAGGTGGGTTGGTTTCACTTCAATTATCTTTGAAACCATTAAGTTCAAATATAATTGTGAAATCTGTTGAATATGGTTTAAAAGAAATTGTACATTATCATAAATCTGGATTTCAAGATGCTGATATTTTAAATAATTCAATAAAAGAGGATAAATTTCCTCTTGGAAAAAAAACTATTACTTTAAATAATAATAATAATAATAATAATAATAATAATACCAATTCTTCTTCGGATTCCAACTTGAATTCCAATTCAAATTCTCAAAATGATCCTAATTTGGTACAAATTAATTTTAGATTATGTCCTTGGGTTAATAGTGATCTTGATAGTTCATTAATTCATGTTACTCATCAACTTTCTTTCACTATTGAAATCGAAATTTCTCAACTTATTATTATTGAAGAAGAAAATTATACTAGTAGTAGTTTAATTGACAATTCTAATTCTACTTCAAATTCTTATGATAATTCTAATAATATTTCTGAAGAAGATGATGATGATGATGATGATGAAGAAGAAGAAGATAATCTTAATTATATTGATGATTATATTAATAGATTTAGATTTTCTTCTGTTTCTTGTTTTTCTAACTTTTCTTCTTACGCTGATTCTGAGATCAGAAATTCTTTTCTTGAACCTAGAACAAGGCTATCAATATATCCTTCTCCTAATTCCCCTCTTTCTTCTCCTCTTTCTGTTTCGGCTCCAACTAATATTGATTCTCCTTATAGTTATAATGATTATCTTCGTCGTTCAAGTTTTTCTGATATAAATTATCAACTTTCACAAATTATATATAATTCCGAAACAAGTTCTCAATCATCTTCTCATTATTCTGATGTAAACATTCATCAATCAACAAGTACTATATCTGATTTTCAACGTTCTTCTCATCATCCTGATGTAAACTTTCGACAATCATCAAACACTATGTCTGATTTTCAACGTTCTTCTCGTCATTCTGATGTAAACTTTCGACAATCATCAAACACTATGTCTGATTTTCAACGTTCTTCTCGTCATTCTGATTTTCAACGCTCTTCTCGTCATTCTGATTTTCAGCGCTCTTCTCATAATTCTGATTTTCAACGTTCTTCTCGTCACTCTGATGTAAACTTTCGACAATCAAGAATTATGTCTGGATCTATTGATTTTCCAAATTTAAATAACCTTATCAATCATCATCATGAATCATTAAATAATGATTTTAATAATATATTGAAAAAAACAATTTCTCATAGGGAACAATTATCTTTAGAGATTCCATTAATTATAACAACAAAATCAAGTTATAATTATCATTCAAATAGAACTAGTATGAGAAATAGTTTTAGAAATAGTATGATAAATAATATGGGAATTGATAATGAAAGATCTCCTCCTTATAGTATGGTTGATGAACCTCCGGCTTATATGTATGCAGCTTTAGTACCTCCTCCACCTCGTTATAATCCTGAGTGATGAATTATAATAATTATAATGAATGAATGATGTTAAATGCATTTTTTATATATGTTATAACTTTTTTAAAAAAATTATTATTATTATTATTATTATTATTGTATGTATTTATTTTATTATCTTCATTTATTGATTTTATTTTTTTATTAATGTAATAATTTTTTTTATTTAAATTGTATAATTCATTTCTATTTATCTATAGTTATTGTTATATTCTTTTTTTTTTTTTGGTGGATTGGTGAATTTTGTCTTTAGTCCTCCGAATTTAGTTAATAGTTAAAATTTTGTGTAGAAGTTTTTGCTTCATGTTTTCAATAATAAAGATTCAATATAAAAATTAAAATTCCTCAATTCTTTATACCATATTACCGTGAAATAACGCGCATAGGTGAAATTACAAATTTTGGGCTAAATCAAGCTTAATAACGCTCATGGTCGTTATTCGCGTAGAGAGAATAAATCTAAATCATTTATTATAATTTGATAGTTAATAAAGTAGATGAATTAATAGGTTACTATAAGGCTGCATACATATAAGCCGGAGGTTCATCAACTTTCTTTCACTATTGAAATCGAAATTTCTCAACTTATTATTATTGAAGAAGAAAATTATACTAGTAGTA